CGGCTAACGTACACACGCATACGATAAAACATTGAAAATTTCTCATCAACATCCCCCCGCAGCGCCGCTGGAGTTATTAAGTATTATGCGTTTATATGGCATTACACCCATTACACATCTTATAAATTAAGTGACACGCGGAGTACAGCTCGAGTATAAGGAAAAAGCAGCAGCAGTAGTGCAGGAGCAAAGCCGCGCGTGTGTGGGTAGTTGCTCTTGCGCAAAAGCGATAAGCTTTTAGATCGTAGAGACAGTTAAGCGGACTTGTGCGTGTGTGTATATTAGACTTGTGTTGCTACGAGGCATACACATACACGAGCAATAGCGGAAAAGAAAAGTGCCTTGTTAGCTTCTTATTTTTCTCCCTCGCTCCCCTCTTTCCCTCTCTTTCTCTCTTTCTCTCTTTTAGCGTACCTACGTGTGCGTTTGTAATTTTGAAATTTATTCGCAAGGTTTTTCACGTGCTCCTGTATGTGTGTGTGTGTATGTGTTTGTGGGTACACGCGCGAGTGCGAGTGTAATTAAAGTAATTGCGGCACGCCTGTGCTTGTGGCTCGGTCGAGAGAGAGAGAAAGAGAGAGAGATGTACTAGAAGATACACATACACCACCGCCGGAGGAGTTTTGATAATCTCTGTGCGCATGTTATAGCGTATATTAGTGTCATTATTCGCGTGTTATAAAAAACGAGAAAAAAATATAAACGCGCAAAATTCGTGTTTTTTTTTTATAACGTAGAGAAAATACACGACCGAGAGCTCACGATTATATTTGTTCAAAAAAAGGTTAACACATCTAACGTCGATAAAAATAAAGAGGAGGAAGCTCGCCCCGATGAATGTATACATAGGCGAGCGAGAATGCAGCTTCGAGTGAAATTTTAACGAAAGTGTTTTCGCTTTAAACCATTGAATTATATGCGCTTGCGCCCCGGGTCCTCTTCGCGCACTGTATAGAGAGAGGATCGATGGCTCTCTCTCTATCTCCTGTCCCGATACATTTGCAGCGCAAATTAAACGAGCCCGAAAGATGCCTTTGAATATTGCACGTCGTTTAAATGCACACACATACACACACACACACTTGCCACTTCGAGTCTATTTTCGAGTCCGCATGCTCTATATGTCTTGGCGTATGCCTCGAACCCGAGCGAGCGAGAGAGTATATATAAGCTACGTCGAGATGTCAACTTTAAATTTCTAACAGGCTTGTAGACAAGCCGTGTAATTTTGCCTATCTAAAATATCGTATCGTTACATTTTTCACGTCATAGACTGCGCGCGCGCACAAATAATTTATATGGAAAATCCTGAATACCGATCGAAAGCGGCACTGAGTAGTGGTGCACACACAGGCAAACGAAGATTTATATATAGACACTCGTTTATCGCTCGATAGGTATAAAAAAAGGAGAAGAAGAAGCAGAAACGTAATGGTTCGCTCGCGTACATACATAACATATTTATCCATATTTTACTTTGACAAATATCACCGCACCTTTTTTTTTTTCTCTCTCTGTCACTTTTTGTTGTCTCGAGGCTCGAGCGACGCGTCGCTGCTGCTCCGCCTATTTTTCGCAAGTTCGTTATCGCTTCTTCGTCAGTCACGGACGGGCGGGACAATGGGGGACACATCGAGGCACAATACGTGTGTAACGCTGCAAAGTGATTCTAGTGAAATTAACGCTTTGACATAACGCGCGATATAAAAATACACACCGTGAAAGTAGCTATTTTTCGTCTGCGTCGAAAATCATTTTATTTTCATTGCCAATAGTCAGCAATATCAGCCGTCGCGGAACGAAATTTCACTCGTGGCTTTATTAACACGTATATCGCGATGCGTACAAGTGACGCGACCGGGACTCGCTACGTGACGTGATTTCGCGGCAATATTTCGAAAACGAGAGGGTGCAAAATTCATCCTTCATATTCACGCAAACCGGCGCACGAAAATCGATTATTTCCCTTGAAGCTTTTATCGCGCGTTGGGAAAAGCTCGTCGAGTTTTTCTGAATGAAAATTGACACGCGCGGGGATAGTCGATTGATTCTCGTCGTGCGGGCACGCGCGCGTGCATGTGTGCGCTGCACGAGAACTGCCACAGCATAATGGGCGTATACATTTTATAAATGTAAGCGAGTGAACGAGAGAGGAGGCAAATCGACACACGATGGATTTTTTGTCGGCCTCTTTTGTGTCCGAGCTTTTGCTGCAGCCGCGCGCGCAAGCTCTGCCCTCTGCCAACTGTTGTATATGCGCGTATGCTTTGATTTACTCTTCTTTTTTTTTCGTTCGTCACGACAATTCGTCGGTATAATTGATTCTCATCGAGTACCCGCGGCAAGTCGATCGATCAATTACCTATACACGTACCCGCGGACGTGTAATCGTTTTACCCAGACTCGTATTAAATTATTATACGCGTACCATGTGCACGCGTAGATATATAGGAGGTGCTGCTGCTGCTGCTACAGCTGCCGAGAGATAACTCGAGTTTGCTCGAGATTATTAATGTAGTTCTCGGGCACTCGATGTCATCGTCGTAGTAGTCGTCGTCTGCTCACTAGTGCCGCTTCCGTAGCTATAACGCGATATTTGCATCTGTGTGCAACGTACGCGAAAATTACCCGCGGAACGCGAGCCAATTGTCATGACTATCGCCTCGATCGAGCTCTGTATTAGCGTCGCATTAGCAGCATAGTTGGCGCGACTTACAAATCTGGGCACGAATATACCTTCCAACTTTTCAACTCGCGATGTATATTCTACGTGGGTATACACGCATGTATACAAGAGAGCCGATCTAGGATATTATTATAAATTTTGCGCAACGTACGCCTGCTTATATGCACGAGTGTAAATGTGTTGTGTGGGGGGGTTGAACGGATTCTCGCTCGCTCAGTCTCTCTCCCTCTCTCTGAAGCTCGTTGCAAAACGTCCGATGATTTACGAACGAGCTTCTGCGATTGAATTTTATTGCGACTCGACAAAAGCGCGCGACAGAGTCGACTACTGCATGTGCACTTCGAGAATAGCTTAACGCGCGCGAGCGAGCGGCTATACGTTTTGTGTTTCTCTCTCTCTCTCTCTCTCTGTCTCAACAACTATGCTATGACGACGACGACGACGACTACGACGGCGAAGATGAGGCGACGACGAGATGCAGCACGCAGTAAATCACTAGACAACGCCGTCGCCGCCTGCACCACTGCATGTGCAGCACGCGCATCTCTATAATATACATGCAAAGTCAGCAGCCGCACAAGAGTGTATGTTATGTGTGTGTGTGTTTTGCAACTCTCAAGGCAAATTATATCGCCTCAAAAGTTGTGCGCGCTCGATGTATACCGCTGCCGCCGCCGACGGTAAAAATCCACTAGCTAGACGTGAAATATTCGGCACCGACTACATAGTATTTTATTCGTTTATTTTATTTTTTATTGTTTCAGCCTCGAGCGCATTTGTTATTTAACCGATTTTACGCGGGGTATATCGTGGTACATACGTCGCGCGCTGTACACGTTATACTGTACGGCTAAAGCACGACCGTGTGCTATACGCCAAGTTTATAAGAAAGGAATGTCTTGCTCGACACGTGTGCGCACGAGGTGCACATGATTCGCGCAGCAACAGCAGCAGCAACATCGAAACACACAAACTATTCGAGCTCTCTCTCTCTCTCTCGTGAACTTGCTGCATCGAGCCATAATTTCTTCCTCAACAATGTGCCATTCCTATCCTTTTTTTTGCTCTTTCTCTCTCTCTTTCTCTGCTTTATCCCTTTTGACCGTATAGCAACAGCAGCAGCAGCTAAAGCTACAGCCAACTTCTTCACTCTTGAGCGTATGCATATGTAAGTGTGTGTGTGTGTGAGTGCGCGCGAGTATATATATGCGAATGTACTTTCACCTTTTGCCCATGCAGGGGCGACCCCGGGCTCGCGCGTGCGGTTCTCCTCTACTCCGCGACTCGTGTCCTTACACACATACATTTATATACATAATATCTGCGCGCGGCCGCTCGTGCGGATATCGAGAAACGCCGGCCGCCGCCGCCGCACATACCGTGCGATATTCATATGCGCGTCGTCCTGAATTCCGAATCTGTTTGCTCTCGAGTACCGAACTCGACGAGTGTACCTCTTAACTTATATGACCATCGTATGTTAATACTCCCAAAAGTGACCATCGACTCCTTTTTTTTTTGTCATTCAAGTCGAGATCGTGTAATGAAACTCGAACGAATCACAATGCCAATGATTATGAGAATAAGCCAAGCCCGATTAGTAAAACAAAACACATCGCGAACAAAATGTCGCGCACACCGCAGGTGAATTAACAAGCTGCTAAAGAGTTTTAAAATACTAGTATCCCATGTACAGCGTATCATATAATAACGATTGCTGCTCACGGGCTCGAACGAGATAAAAATCACGGCGTATAACGATGTAAATTGTTCAATCGGTTCTATCTCTCTCTCGTGGCCAGGCGCTTGCACAAGAAACGCGTCTATCGCGACGTTAATGAATTCGTTTTGCAAATGCCCAACGAACGCATGCACATTGCACCTTTCACAATTTTCGTACCATTTGTTGTTGTTTTAATTTTTTTCTGTCTCTATCTATCTTTTGCGTTCGACTCGATTTGATCTGTCGTCGCGTAGTAACAGACAACACGATGCCGCTTGAGCATCGCAGAGGGAAATGGAAAAAGCGCGGCGCACAAAAATCGCACCCATCGATTTACTTGTACAACCCCGGGAGCTTTTGCTCGGGCGGGCATCGTTCGACACGCGATCTTTCTACGCGATTCCTCTCTTTCCCTCGTCTAGCGTAACAACTACGCAGACCCGCGGCAGCACAAACAAGTACAAACACGTCGAAGCTTTCGAGGACTTTTTATCCAAAGGACTGATTATATATTTTGCACCGGTGAATATCGTCGCCTATCCTGGTCAAGATCTCCGCACGCAGCGCGTATCAAATAATTAATCAAGTCACCTGTAAATTGGGCGATCCTCGAAAAGAGAACTGTGACATGATGCGTCGGCCGCTGAAGGGCCGCAACGATTAGCAACACACCCACTAAGCGAGCATGATCTCGTCCTTGCTTGAACACATGCGTGATCGTGACGAGACGAGCCGCGGCGCTCCCGTTGACGCTAATATATATCTATGTATATAACGGAGCAGCGCAGCGGTAGCACCCACACCCACGCGCGCCACCGTACGTCGTAGTCGCAATAGTCGTCGTCGTCGTCGTCGTCGTCGCGATGACCGAGGAGAGCTCTTGTAAGGCTACAGTCGTTTTGCTCGCGAGAAAAACGAATATAACTAGCGACGACACTACTCGTTGCTTTATCTCTCGCACCACTTTTTTTTTTTCTTTATATACTCTAACAAAAAACTACTAACTCTGTCAATGATATATTCGATGAACGCGCGAAGGTGTTTCTCTGTCGCTTTTCTTTTCGGCACACGGTCACTTGTCACTTGTTTTTATTGGTCGTTTCACGCGAACTTGGGCAGCCTTTCTTTTCCTTCTCGCGCGTTGTTGTCGTTGTTGCTGTACCGCATCGTCGCGAATGCACATCGCCTTCGACAATTAGGGGGTGGCGATTCAAAGGACGTGCCAATGAGCGCGAACGAAGAAGCAGCAGCCGCCAGCTACTACCGACTCCAACATGTTGCAAGTGTGACACACGCACCCACACACCCACGCACACACGCGACGTTGATATATAGTGGATATATAGCGAAGAGAGCAGTGATCGGATAACGTAATTTTTGCACACCGTCGTTATCGTTGTCCGGCCCGTAGCACTATGAGAGAATTGTGTAACTTGCCTGACGTTCGATCAACGGGGAATCGATGAAACTCCTACAATCCAACATGTTATGATTCCCGAGCTACTTGTCATAGAGTCAAATCAGCTCGAAAAATCGACGAATTCGTGCATCGAGGGAAATGCACCTGATACGTAAGTCGTTCGTCATTTGATATAGCACCACAGCACCACAGTACGCGTAAAAATCACTCGGCACAATTATTATAATGATAATAATAATAATAATAACAACAGCAGCTGCAACGGCCAAAACAATCAACAAATAAACTGCAAAAATAGTTTAAAATACACTCGTGTTTTCTGGAACGTGCACAAAACTCTCTTTCAGATACGACTCCTTTTTCGCGAAGCAGCAGTAGCATCAAGCGCGGAGCAGCTCTTGTTGCGCAGCGCGTATATATATATTTTGCCGTATATATACACACGATCGCGATCAGTACGCTCGCTGTGTGACGACTGTACTGGCTGTACTACAGACCAACGAGCACAGTTTCTTTTCCTGTAGACGCAGCGGCATCTATACCCTCACTCTTCTCTTCTTTTAGTTACTCACACGCGCGCAGCGCTCGCGCATACACACCGACGTTCGTTCTCTCTCTCTCTCTCTCTCTTTCGCTTCTCCGGCGAATGTATACACACTCCGCTACACGTACATGTATACATGTGCGAGGTACTACCGAAGCGACGCGATTCAGTATTTACTGGTGTTGGTGGCTGTGTGTAAGTGTGTCCCCCCGCACGTGTGTGTGTGTGCGAATATAATGCTCGAATGTGTCGCGCGCGCGACGGAGACGGAGAGGCATGAAAACGTAGAGCAGCAGCGCGGCGGAGGAGAAGGGGAAAGTGTGTGTGCGTGTATATATATACGGGCGCGGAGCAAAAAGCTTATAGCCGCTGCCGAGCCGGAGCGAGTGCGAGTGGGGTTCGCAGAGTACGAGTGGCGCCCAACCTGGGGCTGCTGGCTGGTGGGGGGACCAGCGATTCGCCTGTTACTACTGCTACCTCTACTACTACCTACTCCTATATAGGTGTATACAGGGGAGCTCGTGTTTGTAGTCAGCGAAAACGCTTTGTCTACAAGTACGTATATGTGTGTTTGTGTGTCTGTATGTGTGTTTGAGCTTGGCTCTGTTCGGCTGCACAAACGTATTGCAAATGTCACTGGAGATGCACTAATGTTCCTCTTGAGCTTATGCATGTATATGTATACACGCTGCTATTTGATGATCCTATACAGTGGCCTTTTGCATTAGTGAGTAGAGTGAATCGTTGAAATGATTGATTTGTATCAAAATTTTGCGCTTTTGAGCTTTGCTCTTGTCTGCCCCCTCCCTCTCTTTCGTGACTTTACAATTCAGTATGCAAGCAGCCTTCGATATAGAGCTACATTTTTGAAGGCCTGAACAATTAGCAATAGGAAACGAGGCCACAATTTACTCCTACTATATCAGTCAAAAATTACCTGAGTGCCGAGAGACTTTATTGTAAAAATGTATCTTGCAACAAAGCTCACCACCCGACAGAGACATCTGATCTCAACTAATAAGACTTGTCCTCACCCACAATTGCATATGTTCTAATTTAGTCTTGACATTGGCTAACAAAAGATGGCTACTGTATCCACCCACCCAATTAATAGTATCCAATGAAAATTTTGACTAATTAATGATTAATTTCACTCGATGACCTCGCCCACGAAAATGTCTACACTCAATTTTTCCAAGAAACGACACACGTCTGTGGTTCGATTCATGCTCATCATAGCACACAATCATCGTCACCATTAATAGTCATCTTCAACCACTAACGAGCGTATTTGATCGAAATTATAAAGGCTGACTAAGGCAGCGCGTGTGAGTGAGACAGAAGAACGACTCATCCATCTTGGTCGAACCGAGCAGGTATTTGTAGATAGTAGTAGTCGCATGGTAGTGTTAGTAGTAGTAACAGCAGCAGCAGCAGCAGCAGCAGTAGTAGTAGTAGTAGTAGTGGTAGTAGTATAAGTAGTAGTAACAGCGTACACAGAGTAGTGGTGGCAATTGTCGCCGTAGTTCTTTTCTTTCCCAGGAAAAGGGGCAGATTTTTCGTGCCCGCGCCGCGAGGCGGTTTGTACCTACTACTGCTAAGCAAGCATCGCGTGTACCCCCCACCCTTCTCTTTCCTTGTAGTCTATCTCTCTCGCTCGCTCTACTGTGGGAGGGTCTCGCGATTTGCCGGGCGCGCGCGTGAAACGATCGCTCCTCTCTGCCATAGTCGTGTATAGCATGCAGCAGTAGTTGTAGCGCGAGCGAGCGATGGAGATGGGGAGGGAGAGTGTACGTTGCGGCGCGTTCTACGTTGGGCGCCACCTCTCATTTCTTTCTCTCTCTCTCTCTCTCTCTCTTTCTCTTATACATTTACGGAGTGGCTCTCTCCGTTGGAGACTATACCTACGCGCGAGAAGCAATTATTACCTCCGACAGAGTCGCACACGCACACACTCAGATGCACATGCATGTATATAAAACATACATACGCGTCTACAGCGAGTCAGCCAGTGCCGAGAAATATCATGGCGTGTGCGCGAGCGAACGAGGCGGTTAGCACCGGTAGACGCGCGACAATAACGCTCGACGAGAAAGACTTTTCTCCTTCTCCAACCCCTTTCTGACTTCTCGTTTTGGAAAAACAGATCCTCTGGTCGTTTTCCACGCTGCCCACCCGTGCCCCTGCCACTGCGCGCTCACATTAAGGGAAAACTTTCCTTATGCGCTCGGCCCCTGTGAGTGTATGTATGTATGTACGTGGCTCTAAGCTCCGAGGGGGTTGTATGGGTAATAGAGCAGGGGAGTGAACGCGCAAAGCGTGAGCGGGTATTATCTAGCTCGCGGCCAAGGGGCTAGTTTGTCGATCTTTCTACCGCTGCGGCGGCGGCAACTGCGACGGCGACGTTGGCCAAGAAGAAGCTGATTTTTGATCGTATAAGGAAGTCTTCGCGCGTGCGTTATCACCCGTCGTACGCGCCCTGAGAGCAAGGTGGGAGCTCTCTCTTGCCGTACACGACAATTTTAGTTCGATGGATTTCTCAGTTTAGCAAGCGTGACTCGGCAGCTCTATATACCGAAGTAGTTTGTTCAATGCCCTCTCTCTCTCTCTTTCTACCCCTCGCTAGGATTCCTACCACCGGGAGAGAACCTCCTTGTGCTACCCCTAGACGAAGGTCTATAAAGCTACAACTTATACCGGTATACTAGTGCTGCTAGAGCTACTGCTGATCTCAACTCTTGCCAGACAATATACTTCTTCTTCATACTTTCCTTATGTGCTTGCCACTTTCCCCCGAACAAAACCCACTAGTTTTTTTTTTTTCACTTTTTCTCGACTCGAGATACTCTTTTTTTTTCTTCTCTTTATAAATGTACCGATTCTATTCTACATGCAATTTTCGTGCTGTTGGATCTAAACTTTGAATATTTTATGCCAACCAGGGTTTCAAATGTTTTCGCTCTGCTTTTCAAATGATGTCAGTTTTTAATGCTATCACGAGTCATGCGATTTATTATTTTATTTTTAATTGATTCAATTAAATTCTTTTATTCTGACAGATATTTTCAAAAAAACTATGTCAATAGTGAAGCAAGTATTCTTAGGCTAAAAGACCTAGTAATTACTTATTTCTTTTCTATTTATTATCATATTTCTTTATAAAAGCTTTGATGTCGATAGTTTACTAAATTTTATTCTTTTTTATAAATGATTAATGAAAAAAATCATCTAAGAAAAACTTTTTCAAAAATATACCTCAATCACTTTTTCATACGAAAATTATATTGGCATAGTTCAGTTTTGAAATAAAAATAACTATTCGAGACAGGAAAATCAACAACCTAATCTTTCATAAAAATCATTATAAACTACTAATAATTTATAAGTTGTTTTTTAACCACTTTTAGTTCACAGAAGAAACCCATAAAAGAAAGTAGTATCATTTTTATTCTGACTTTGTTTCCGACAGGTTTGATAATTTATTTATAAAATGTCATTTCATGCAATAATTACTCTTATGTTTGCCTACTACGAATATGTTTACTTTCATTTTACGCAACATCATCATATTTGAGTTTACAATGATAATCAAACTTTTGCCTCGACCACGATAAAAGTAATGACGATTATACTGCGAAATTGCAGAGTTGGGAAAAGTTTCTCGCTCGATATCATGAATGCAACTGTTTAAATTGTGCCTTCCAAAAAGCCTTTTGCAATAATCCGTCGGCATAGCCCTCACGAGCTTTGTCCTCGATCCGCGCAGAGGGCAGCAAAGCTCACGAAGCAAAGTGCATCGCTCGAGTCATGAGCCTGTATACGCACACCGAAAGCTCGTGTACTTTTTTTCCTTTCTCTCTCTTTCTCATTCTCCTTCGAGGTGCACGAGAGTGGAGGCGATTGTCGTTCGCGCGAGTGCACGACGTTGGGCGCCCCGGAGAAAAAGGGGCGGACAGAGAGGACGGTCTATTGGTAGGTGGAGCAGTTTGGAGGCAACTGAGGCGTCACGCTCTTTCCCCTCTTTTTGAAGAGATGAAAATTTTCACCGTGGTAGGAGATTTTCGTTTTTTAACACGTTGGGCGCCAAATTTTAAAGATAAAGATGATTAAAATAGTAAATAACACGTATATTTCTCTCAAAACTTACAAATATATCTTTCTTTTGGTATTGAATTTGACAAAATAAGTAAAAAAATTGCATATTGATTAGAATTTGAATAATCTGAAACATCAATGTTGTTCTAATTACAGAGAAATAAAAAAATATTTCCCAATAGTTGGTTGAAACCGATACACTGTTCAACTTATCGCTAAAACTGACGGCAAAAGCTCGCCAATATTGAAGGAAAAGAAAACCCCTTAACAAAGGCAGTTGCAGTCTTGAAAAAAAGCGAACCCTCTCCACGATATTCACGAGCTCTCCCCTTCAGAAAAGAATGACTCGCAACATCGCGTTCGTTGGCTGCTCATTTTTTCCCCTCCGTTCGCGGTAGGCGCGGAAGTTTTGAGTCCCGCCCACTCTGAGCGCTCCCCACCCTCGCGATTCTAGCTCTGTCTCGCTTGCTCCATTGGCGATAGCACAGAACTCGTTTCTCTCTCTCTCGGGCTCGTGCGGCGCGGCGAGCTCGACCGAGCGTGAAAAAGGGGGAAGCTCGAGAGCGGAGCAGCGAGCCGGAGAGTGAGTTGAAGCCTCGACGCTTATTCTTCTTTCTATCGGCGTGGCGAGCGCACGTACTATACGTATACGGATTTTACACTCGGCAGGCTTCGCGAGAGCCGTCGGATCGTAGAATTGTAGGTGAAAGAATCGAAAAGGAGATAGATGCCATACATATACCGAGATATATGCATCGCTGTGTAACGTAGTTTATTAAACTCTTTGTGGTTTATT